GCTGAGGAATCGAACCCAGGGTCTCATGCATGCAAGGCAAGCACTTTACCACTGAGCCACCTTCCCAGCCCCCCAGCTTTTTTTTTTAATGTGGTACTGAGGAATAGAACCCATAGCTTCATGCATGCTAGGCAAGCACTCTCCCACTAAGCCACATTCCCAGCCAAGTTGAAGATTTTTTAATGTCATATTTTTGACCCACCATTCAGTTTCCAGTAGGAGGGGCAGATTGGAGAGCAAAAGTCCTGCCAAAGCTTGGAAAACCTTCGGTCTAATGCTGACACTCAAAGCATTCTTACCCTAAGGGTACAGACAGCAAGTACCTTCATAAATAGGAAAAAACATTGTCCCTAATAGCCTAAAAACAGAGATCACAGTGATTATCAGAAACTATCACAAGTTCCCAGAAAAGCTGCAGGTCTTTGGATAAACCAAAATGGCTAATGAGTCTACTAGCCGATGGGAGAAGGTCTGAGAACAGCAGGGTCATTCACATGCCCCTCTAACTAGGTGTACAGGAGAGCTCAGGGGCAGCGTGGGAAGGGATTTGCTTTGCAATCAGTTACAAAGATTGGAGAGATGCTGATGGTGAGAAAAGAGGGAAGGAGAAAGAAGATATTGTGAGAAAGCTGGAGAAGGAAGGTGAAAGACAATTTTGGCTTAAAAACTCATGATGAAAATGAAGGAAACACCATGAGATGATGTTTGTGGGCAGGGGTGGGGAGGCAAGACCTTAGAATGGGAATGCATAGATTATTGTGGATGGAGTTCATGTTGAGATAGAAGGGATTCATTTCATTGAAACTGGGCACATAAGGTCACTAAACAAAGAACAATTAGAGATTGGGAGGATCCCAGGATGAGGCTAATAAACAAGAAAGGCCAATAGTGTCCAGAAGATATACTAAAGACCCCATTTCAAGGAAAATGTCCATGTGGTGACTTGCAGATAAGCTCCAGCTAAGCAGGAGCTAATAGGTAAGTGGACTGTACTCCAAGTTGCCAGAGCAAAAATGAGATCCTACTTGAAAATTAATTAAAGGAAAAAGGGCTGTGGTGTAGCTCAAGTGTAGACAGAGTGCCTGTCTAGCAAACTCAAGACTCTGAGTTCAAACCCCATACACACTGGAACAGATGGTCTTACAGAATATGGATACATGGATTCCTGGGGGGAGAGGCAAAAGAGACCTACATGGATCAGAGGATTGGAGGTAAAGTGTCTGGGAGGCTGCAGACATTTTAGGTGAGATTATGGGGTGAGGTCTGGGTGCTCCAAGAATGTCTGTGCAAAGGATATAGACAGGTTTTTTAGGTTAACTGGTTCAAGGCATGTTCCCCCACCTGGGCACCAATGATCACATCTATAATACTAGCTTTTTGGGAGGCTGAGATCTGAGGATCACTGTTTGAAGCCAGCTCAGAAAAGTCCATGATGGGACTCTGATCTCCAATTAACTACCCCCTCCCCGCAAAAAAGCTGGAAGTGGAACTCAAATGGAAGTGGCTCAAATGGTAGAACACTAGCCTTGAGCAAAAAAACCCTTGAGATAGTGCCTATGCGCATATGTGTGCATGTGAACATGCACACGTACTTGTGCGCGCACGCACACACACACACACACACACACAAAGACATGCTACCCCAAAACATGGCAATTTGAGAAAAATGACAGCAGTGTATAGGTCATTCTCATCTTTCTCCCTTTTCCATGAAGCGGATTATAAGGCCCGTCATGTGCCAGGTGCTCTCCCTATGCCCAAAGGAACATTTTTTTTTTTTAGAGCCAGTCCTGGGGCTTGAACTCAGGGCCTAGGCACTGTCCCTGAGCTGAGCTTCTGTTGCTCAAGGCTAGCACTTGACCACTTGAGCCACAGTGCCACTTCTGGCTTTTTCTGTCTATGTGGTACTGAGGAATTGAACTCAGGGCTTCATGTATGCCAGGCAAGCACTCTACCACTAAGCTATATCCCCAGCCCTGAACATCTTTATTTTTAAAGACAAGAGATCACAGAGAAGCTGAACAATCAGTTTCCCCCAGTTTGGGAAACTGTTATCATTAGATCACATAGTTGGTCCCACAGTACTTCTCAACTATCCACTCACCACCAAATCTAGCAGAAAAAGACACAGGTTTATTAACCTTTTCTTCAGATCTTCATTTCCTTACTGCAGGCTCTCATGTCACATAAAAGTTATATCAAATACATTTATGTGCTTTTCTCTTGATTTGTCTTTTGTTATAGAAGCCTCAACTATGAGTTGGGAGGAAAAAGGTATCTTCCCTCTCATTTAAAGTACAGAGGCCCCAGGGAATTAAGGGGCAAAAAGACATGAACAGTAGGGTGAGAAAAACACCAAGCAATGGGATAAAGGGTACATAGAAAGCACTATCCCAGGGTATTTGTGTCTTGGAATGAGTTGGTATTGAGCTTAACAATGATTAGAAAATAAGTAACCTGGGGCTGAGGTTGATGCAGAAAACCAGGTAATTCAGGTAAGGGAGATTCAGGTAAGGGAGATAGTGAGGTGGGATTTTTGGAGCCTGTGAGTTCAAATCCTAGCTCTGTTAGCTGTGTGATTTTTCAAGTTCATTCATTTAAAACCAATCCTCCCCCAAAAGTGGGGGGGAGGAGAGAAAATGATGGTGGGTATAACATTACCTTTTGGGCTTTTTGAAAGGTAAAACTTGTTTGCTCTATAAGAGATGCTTAGTGTGCTAATCATCATTAAAGCAGTATCATAGCAGTGTTAAAAAAAAAAAAAAAAGAGGCCTCAGCCAAGATGTGAAGATTGGAGTTCTAAGATGTTAGTAGTGGCTGGTTTAGGCCACATTGTTTAGTGTCTGTAAGTCCCTAGCACTCAGGATAGTGAATCCCCACCCCCATCCTCAGTGTGTATGTGAGGGGTCCTTAGTAAAAACAGCTGCTATAAAGGTTCCTTGTGTGCCAGGAGTGGGGTTGGGTGTGTTACCCCAGGCATCGCTATCATCTTCCCTTAGCAGAAGTGGAGACTAAGCTAAATTGTAATGCCAAAAGTCTCATAGCTGAAGGGCTAGACTTAGGTTAGGCTGGGACTTAGATTTATGACCTCAATGCCCTAAGCTAAAACTATCAGCTATATTGCTTTACCAAGGCAACTGATGGCCTGAGCAAGGGGAATGAGTATTGAGCATAGGGATCATGGGAAGGAGGGGAGAAGAGTTATTAAGCAAGTAGACCCTGACATGTGGTTACAAGACTAAGCTTCTCAGGGTGGGATAGAAACAAGACTGTGATCATTATCTTGACTGAGAACTGCAAAGTTTCAGATGGAAGGCAACTCTTGAAATCTAACCCAACCATATCACAATATCGATGAGAAACTGAAATCCAGGGTAAGAAAGGGCCTTTCCCTCAGGTTTTCCAAAGCACAACAGTGGCAGGCTCTCTAAACTTGAACCTGGAACAACACAACCCAGAATTTTTGATGTCTCTAGTTACTGCTACTTCATATTTATCTCAATATCGTCCTCAGCACCAGCACGGTGCGGTGTGGGTCAGTACTAATACATGTGCTGATTGACTCTGAAGGGCTGGGGTAAGGGTAGAAAGGGATGACTGTGGGGCGTTTGTAGGACAAAACTACAACATGGGGTTGAGGATTATAAGGTTACAGGGCAAAAATCATGAGTTATGTAGACGACTGATTAGGAAAACTATTGGAGTATGGCTTGTGAGTTGGCAGAAGAGGTTTGAGAAGTCACTAACTTTGTGAGGAACCTGGGACAGTTTGGGGGTCACTGAGGAGGGATGTAGGGATCTTAGAGCCGAGTGAGTCATTGTATTAGAACTGAGGGGGCAGGGGTCTCTGGGTTGGCGGGTCCCTGAGCGGGGTTAGCAGTTACTGAATTGAGGGTCACCTGGTGCGGTTTGGGGTCAGGGGGTGGGAAGTGGGGTCACATAGGTGGAAGCGGGCGCAGTCACGGGGTGGGGTTTGGCAGACCTGTAAGAATCGCAAGGAGGGGGGGGTGGTTGAGGGGCAGGGACGGGGGTGAGGGGGAGGCCCGGCCGCCGTCCAGTGGCCGGGCCGCGGGGCTAGGGCCGGAGGAGGGTGGGCACGACGGGCTCGGGGCCTTCCCTGGGCCCTGCGCCCGCCCAGCCTCCCGCCTGGAGCACGGTGGACCCATTCTTCCCGCAGCCACCAACCTGACAGCCCCCGAGGGCGACTCCGCCGACAGACCGCCATGCACCGGGCCCCGCCACCAGCGCCGGCCCCGCAACCCGCCTGCGCCATAGCCCGCCCGCCCGCGCGCGGCTTGCCTCGCGCGATATCCAGGTTCCAGGGCCGCCGCGCTTTCCTCCGCTCTCGGTGCGCCTCTACCGCGCCCCGGAACCCGTATGGAAAGTACCGGGCACGCTCCACCCCGCCCTCCCTTCGCCGCAGAGGACGGGCCTCCTTATCCCGGTTCCGGGGCCCCCTCAGAGCCCCGGTAGCCGGGCTCTGAACCGAACCCCGCCGAACCCCGCTCCCCCGCCCCCCGCCGGCGTGACGCAGGCCCGCGAGGCCGAGCGCCCGGGGAGGGCGCGATGACGTCACGACGCCGGGTCGGCGCCCGGGCGCCGCGCCCACCACAGTCACTACAGCAACCGGGACCGCTACCTGGCAGGCTCCCGGGCTCCGTTCTCCCGAGGCCGGAGGCCGGGGCAGGGCGGTCCCACAGGCCTGGCGACACCCTCCCGCTCCCGAGTAGGTGAGCTTCAGGAGTCTGACCACACGCAGGTTATGAGGAAAGCAGCATCTCCGGAGGGTTCACCCCACGCCCCGAGCTGGCCGGCTGGGTCTGGAGGCCCTTTAAAGGGCGCGGTCCGCAGGCACTGCCTACTGACCTTGGAGCTAACCCTCGGAGGAAGCAATTGCAGGTTATTGAAAAGGACTTTGAGCAGCTTTCCTGCTTTGATGCCCGCAAAACCGCTGCTCCCCTTGGTTGGTTGGGAACAGGGAGAACAAAACTAAGCGCAGAGGGGCTGCAATGGGGGGTGGGGGCCATTTCCAGAAACCTGAGAAAACGAAAAGTGAGCTGTCGTTAAAAATACATGTGCCGGGCGCCGGTGGCTCACGCCTGTCATCCTAGCTACTCAGGAGGCTGAGATCTGAGGATCACACTTCAAAGCCAGCCCAGGCAGGAAAGTCCGTGAGACTCCTATCTCCAATAAACCACTAGAAAACCGGAGGTGGTGCTGTGGCTCAAGTGGTAGAGCACTAGCCTTGAGCTGAAGAGCTGAGGGACAGCGCCCAGGCCCAGAGTTCAAGCCCCATGACCGACCAGAAAAAAAATACACACATGCCTACACCTATTCTACGAACACAAATACAATGCACCTAACTACATAAATAAGGAAGTTGGGGGCGTGCATGCCTATATTCCAGTACTTAGGAGGCAGAGACAGGAGGTATCAAGAGTTTGAGGTCAGCATAGGCTGCAGAGCAAGTCTCCATCTCAAAAACAAACACTGGGTTGGGGGGGGGGAAGAGAGAGACAGACAGACAGACCGAGAGGGAGGGAGAAGGAGAGAGGAGGAAAGCTGGAGAGGAGGAGAGATGAGGAGAGGAGAGAGGAGAGAAAGAGAGCAAATAAACAAAAACAAAAAACAGGTAAAGAACTGCCTTGGTAAGAGACAACTGGTTTTAGATACATGGGGAGGAATGTGGTAAGAAACTGTGCTTCTCTGTCCCTTCAAACATTGACTTATGGTGGTGCATGCCTGTAATCTAGCTTCTCAGGATGCTGAGATCCAAGGACTGACATTTGAAGCCAGCCCAGGCAGAAAGTTCTCCTGAGATGTATCTCCATTTAACCACCAAAAAAGCCAAAAGTGGAGCTATGGCTCAAGTGGAAGTGCAAAAAAGCTAAGGGACAGTGCCAAGACCCTGAGTTAAAGCCCCAGGACTGACACATACAAAATTTTTTGACTCATTTTATATGTGTGTGTATATATATATATATATATATATATATCCCTCCTCCCCAAACCTAACACATTTAGCTTAATAAAAATATTTTTCTTGCTGGGCACTAGTGGCTCATGCCTGTAATCCTAGCTACTCAGGAGGCTGAGATCTGAGGATCACAGTTCAAAGCCAACCTGGGCAGGAAAGTCTGTGAGACTCTTATCTCCAATAAACCACCAGAAAACCAGAAGTGGCACTGTGGCTCAAGTAGTATAGCGCTAGCCTTGAACTGAAGAGCTGAGGAACAGTGCCCAGGCCCAGAGTTCAGGCCCCACAACTGAAAAAAATTTTTTTCTTGATATGTGATCAACTATATATTATATATAATGTGTATGGTATATGTAGCCTAGGTTAGCCTTGAACTCCCAATCCTCTTGCCTCAGCCTCTTGAGTGCTGGGATTATACCCCTTATTCCCACTGCATTAAAAATAAGTGTTAAAGGGAATAAATTAGCAACATTGACAATACACTGGGCTTGAGGCCTAGAGCAGTTTAAGATGCCTTTGGGGGTTTGGAGGTACAGATCCTATTCTTTTGTCTGACAAGCTTAACCAGAACACCCTGGCCCCTCTCCCCAATCTTACACCTTACTGTTCTGATCTTATCTGTTTTGGCACAGCATTTGTAGGGGTGGAGCTGGAACTGGAAGTTCTCATCAGTTTCTCAGTTTACAGGCTTAGTGGCAGTTGATGGCTCATTCTCATGGTTAATAATCCTTAAAGACCTCAGCACAAAAACAAACAATCTGATCACTATGGTGCTCTTTCAGTTCCTTTTTGGTGGAAGTTTGACAAATCATTTTTTTAATAGACAAAAATAAAGGATGAAGTAGCTTTATCTCACAGCATGAACTGTACAGAAGGAAATGGGACCCAGTGTACCTAAGTTTGTCCCTTCAACCTTCCACCACCACCTTTGTCTATAGTAAAACATTCCTGCATCTGGGCACCAGTGGCTCACCCCTGTAAGCTTAGTTACTCAGGAGACTGATATCTGAGAATCTCAGTTTGAAGCTAGCCTGGGCAGGAAAGCATGTAAAACTATTTTCTTTAATTAATCACAGAAAAAGCCAGAAGTGGCACTGTGGCTCAAGTGGTAGAGCACTAGCCTTGAGCAAAAAGGAACTCAGGAACAGCGCCCAGGCCCGGAGTTTGAGTTCCAGGACTGGCTAAATAAACAAATAAAATCCCTGCAGATCATAATTAGTTGGCTCATCCCTCTCCCATGGTCTGAAGTCATGATTCTAATGAGATTCTGAGGAGCTGTGTACCCCTTATTTTCCCCAAGTTCACACATGAATTTTTCATTTTAAATACTTTGTAGAGACTATAAAGCTGAGTCTCCTATCTCCAACTAACCAGCCAAAAGCTAGAAGCAAAGCTGTAGCTCAAGTAGTAGAGTGCCAGCCTTGAACAAAAAGCTAAACAAGAGGGCAAGGCTCTGAGTTCAAACTCCAGTAATACCCATGAAAAAAAATAAAAACTACACACACACACCTTTTAAGTTCTAAAATCAGAAATAAGATGAAAGAAAAAAGTTAAGTCTTAGCTGACAGCCAGAAGACACTTGCTCCTCAAGCTTGTTTACAGTTCTAGGATAAGCTATTGAGAGGAAAAGATGGCAGGCAGAAGTTTCATTTAGTATTTTAATAATAATAATAATAAAAAAGACAATACAAAATCCAAACATTGCGTTTTTACAAGTTCAGATACATATTTTTCCCCAAGTGCAAAATACTCTAGGAACTGCATCATTTGTTGTTTACTGTTGATTGTGTAAAGAGATGCTTGCTATATTGGCAGAAGTGGAGGGCAGATATAAACACAATTTTTTTCTCTGTTAGAAAATAAGCCTTCCACACGATTCTCTGAAATTTCAGTTCAACTTGCACAGTAGTTCTGTGCCATCTAGATATCGGCTGAGAACAGAACAGGACTTCTGTCCCTCTCGTTATATTTTTTCCAACATGATTCCTAGTCCGAATAATGGCCCAAGGACAGCCTGTACTACCTTTGGGAAAGGTCAAGTTTAAAGGTGTTTCCTTTCACTTTTTTTCGTGCTAAAGAAACAGGCAGTTTGTTTCTGCCTATGGCCAGTCACACTATCTTGTTCCCTTAGTATGAGACTGTCAGAATGTAGTTAAGCAGCAGATGCAAATGTTTTGCATGCTCCAGGTTTTTTGTTTTTTGACATCCTGACATAATGACCTCCTAACTCATTCCAGTTAACTCAAACATGCATATGGAGAACACTTCTCAGATTAAAAAAAAAAGTTTCATTAGGGCCAAAGATCAGGATTGTATTACTAAAATTTGCATTTCCATCACCACAAATTGACCAAATCCTGGGAGGAATCTGAGCAGTCACAGTTCAGTGTCCAGCCTTTGGGGATCTCTAGGTCTGGGGTGGGCAGCTCAAGTCTGGGCTCTGGATAGTTTTCTTCCGACTGAGAATTCCCTCAGGTTTAGGGATGGGCTTGGCCTGATCATACAGAGGGAGAGGTGGAGAATTACCGATGTTGCAGTGCTTCAGAGGATATAAGTGCCTTTCCAAAACACTTGGATCACTTTCCAATTCACTTGACGCTTGGAGCCCTCATGGAAATAGCTTCCCATGCTCAGACTCAATCAGGCAGGTTTTGTACAATGAGGCCCCACAGTCTCATGACCCTACAAGCACCCCATTCTGCAGGAAGGCCCCTGGGTTAGCTCATGAAGGATTCCTATTTACACCGTCTTCCCACTCCCCTCACTTCCCAGTGGAAATATCTTTTTCATCTGTCTGTGAAGCCTAGAGTCCCTGAGTGTTGACTCCTCATCCAGTCCACTTATCCTCTAGTCTGATGCCTAGAACCAGTTTCCTCTTTAGGTTCAGCAGCAGCTGTGCCTGGATTCTTAATGCCCAACTTGGATCACCTAAATTATACTTGTTGGACAAGAGCAAATCTTCCATCTACTCATCTAGGTCTGTCTTGATATCAGTTAAGAACCTAGTAATCTACCCTTTCCACAAGCCATGACATAAATGACTGAAGAATATATATTTTTATGTGTAGGTATGGTATGACAGGAAAAAAGAGGGAGAAAGGAGAAGCCAAACTCTAAAAGCATACATTGGGACACAGCCTCAGTTTGGCTTTCCACGAGAGAAGCAAAATGGTAGGGAAAGAGGAACCAAAATTAAATGCTTCTAATAGAATTAGGATGGTCAAAGTTGATTGTTTTCATGGTGCTTTTTGAAAAGTGCAGCCATGTATACTAAATGACCATTTCCCCAGCTTGGATGTAGCCATTTAACATCTTTGCAATGAGTACCAGGGGGAGACAAAGACAGAAGATCTCCACTCCCAATTAACATGTCAAGAAATGGAACTCTGCCATTGGCTGCCTATCACTAAGGCCTGTGTTTTAGCCAGTGAATGTTTCTGATTGGAGGAAGGGGAGAGGGGCCCGTTTATTTCCTGTCAATTCTCCTGGGGAGCAGTAGCCTGGGACAGTTAACTGGCCCTGTGGAATCATCAATAGCCTTTGACTAGGACCACAGCTTTGGGAGAACTACAAGGAGCAAGTGGAAAAGGATTCTACAGGCAGCAGTTGGATTCTGGGTAGAGTGTGCAGGATCTAAGGTTGAGCATCGACTTGATTCTTCTTCCTTCAAGAGACAGGCTTGAAGTGAACTCTAAGCGGGAAGTGACAAGTGCCAGGCACAGCACCAGCTTCATGCACGGGTAGCCACCCTGTTCTTAGTTATTACATACTGCTTTGTCTGGCCTGGGAACCTGAGTTGGCCTGTCCCTGGGCATTTGGCCTGGTCCTCTTCCATGAGTGCACCAGGGAAATCAGCATGAAAGCAGGACGACGTGAGGTTTCCCCTCCTTGCAATAGAGTCACTGGCCAATCCTACCTGCCCGTACAATCTCAAGGGTCATGCTGAAGTCCTGGAGTGGCATAGGAAAGCAGGATTGGTTTAGCAAACAGTCCCTTTCTTTTCTGTTCCATCGGGTCTCCAGAATTTCTGTCTACATAGCAGATACCTCTGCGCTATAGCCCCAGGTTAACCCAGTTGAGGGTGCTAGCACAGGAGGTGGCCACTGGTGGGTCAGAGATGAGATGCTCCAGCACTCAAGGTTCATGAGATTCAAAATGGATATTCTTCCATTCCTATCACTTCTTCTTTCTTGGGCAGCTATAAATAGGGTTGTTCTAAGAAGGAAAAAGAAACAAACAAACAAAAAAAAACCCAGAAAACAAAAACCCTCCCTCTAGACAACACAGAAAGACTCAAAATGATTGCACTTATTAGATGTGGACAGGGTGGGCAGGAGGCTCGCCAAGTGCACACATACTCCTCTTGCTGCCCACTGCCCAAGGCCAGAGGTAGGCAGCTCCAGGCCGGCTGCAGAGTGGGGTCTTCTTTGGTGGAACCCACAGGCCACATGGAGCTACAAGGGAAAGACAGCTGTGGGGCAAGGTCCAGGCTGGGGCCAGGCAACAGCCAGGTTTCTTTAAGGACAACATTTAAGTAAGGGGAATAGGCTCCCCCAGGGAGCACTCAGGTGGGGTGAGGGCTTGGCTGGGCAGGGAAGACAAGAAAAGCTATTAGTGTTGGAGGCTGGCTTCCAATTGTTCTGTAGTCTAGCCCTTTAGATAATATGTTCCTTCCTTCCTTTTCTTTCTTTCTTTTTTTTCTTTCTTCTTTCTTTCTTGCTTTATCTTTCCTTTTTTCTTTCTTTCTCTTTATTCTTTTGGGCAATGATTTAAAACCTGCTTTCTGTCTGGCAGAGCTGTAGTCTTTCTCTCTGGAGCTATAGCAGGGCACTGGCGTACATGGTAATGTCCTGCAAGTCCTCATTCGGCCAGTGGCCATCAGCCCAGGGGCATGGGCCATTTGTAAACCCTTGTGGAGTAGATCCCAGGCAGACAGACATGCAGCAGAACAAAGTGAGGAGCTGTACAGACAAGAAAGCCAGCTATGTGGACAGCCCAGGGCTCAAACTGTGTGCCCTGCAGACGTGCTGGCATTAAGCCAGTTAAAGGCTTCTTTGGCAAAAACCCTGGGAAGCGCAGTAGGGGATGTTCTGCCTCCTGACTGGCAAGGCACAACCCTTTATGGCAAGAAGCCCTTTTTACCCATCCCCATTCCCTAGAAGACCAGTGTGGGGGCGGAGGGGGGAGAAAGAGAGAGAGAGGGGGTGGGAAGGAGAGAGAGAGAGAGAGGAAGAAAGAAGAAGAGGGAGAGAGTCAGGGAGGAAGAGAGAAGGAAGTGAGAAAGACAAAAAGGGAGAGTGCCTGGTCTGTGTAGTGATAGTTTTCCTCCAAAGAGAGGAGAGAGTTCCTTGTCTAAGGTTGGGGGCTGCCAGCTCTGAGGGCTGAGGAGTCTGGGGACTCCAAAACCTGAGTCCTTGGGCTGTGGGCACTATTTGTAGGGCCTCAGGAAGCTGGAAACTTTGGACCGGAGAAGCTTGATGAAGGATTTTGGCAACATCTCCTTGTGTTTCTCTGTGTACTTGAAGTAGTTCTGGGGATGGGCCAGCACCTCAAAGAAGGCCTTGATTAGCTTCTTGTCCTGCAGAGGGTGGCAGGCAGTGGTGTCAGCTCCGAGTCATGGATGGGAAACAGGAACACCAGCCTCCACCCAGCAGCCCCTCTCCGTGTCTCTGGGCATAGCACACCAAACCTATGCAGAGGGAGCTCTGGACCACCAGCCCCACCCTCTGCTCTTAGAATCCCAATGGTAGCTCCAGCCTTCTACTGCTTAAGCCCTCAATCTGTGGAGCCATCCTTGACTCTTCTTTCTCACCCACAACTACAACGAATCTGTTGACTCTACAGTTATAATATAACCAGGGTCTGGCCTCTGTCAGCATCTCCACAGTTGCCACCCTGGGCCCAGCTGTCATCATCTCTCACTTGGACCACTGCCAGCCTCCTAACTGGCCTCCTTGCTCTCTTAGACTGTACTCCCTGCAATAGCCAGAGTGACTCTTGGGGTGGTTAATTAGTTCACTCTTTTCCTACTTGAAACACTTTCTGCTCTCTCCCTTCCTCCTTCCCTCCCTCCCTTTCTTTGGCTCCTTCCTGCCCTTCTTTTTTAATTTTTTTTTCCAAGTCAAGGTTCTGCCATGTGGTCCAGGCTAGTCCTGAACTTCTGGGGTTAATTTATCTCAACACTTCAGCTTCTCAAGTAGCTGGGATTATAGGCATGTGCCTTCACAACTGGATACAATTTATTTATTTATTTTTGCAGGGCGGGGAAGGGAGGAGAGTAGTACTAGGGCTCAAACTCAAGAGCTAGGCACTACCCCTGAGCTCCTTTGATCAAAGCTAGTGCTCTACCCTGTGAGCCATACAACACTTCCGGCTTTTTGTGTTTAAATGGAAATAAGAGTCTGATGAACACTCCTGCTGGGCTGGCTTTGAATCATGATCCTCAGATCTCAGCCTCCTGACTAGCTAGGATTGTGAGCCACTGGCACCTGGCTTATTCTCTCTCTCTCTCTTTCTCTGTTTCTGTCTCTGTCTCTCTGCCAGTCCTGGGGTTTGAACTCTGGGCCTGGGTGCTGTCTCTAAACCTCTTTGTACTCAAAGCTAGTGCCCTGCTACTTGAGCCACAGTGCCACTTTCAACTTTTTTTTTTTTGTCAGTTGTGGGGCCTGAACTCTGGGCCTGGGTGCTGTCCCTCAGCTCTTCAGCTCAAGGCAAGCACTTTACCACTTGAGCTACAGTGCCACTTCCAACTTTCAGCTTTTTCTTAGAAGTTTATTGGAGATAAAGAGTTTCATGGACTTTCCTGCCCAAGTTGGCTTTGAACCATGATCCTCAGATCTCAGCTTCCTAAGTAGCTAGGATTACAGGTGTGAGCTGCTGGAACCCAGCTAGGCTTATCCTTTATTTCCATTTTTACTCTCTGGTGCTGAGGATTGAATCTCCTTGCTACACCCCTTCACTTTACCACTGAGTTATATCCTCAGCCCCTCTGGTTTCTGTTATCATTCAGAGTAAAAGCTGAGCCTCTTGCATGACACATTGGAGGACTATGTGTCATTTGTTTTTCTCTCTACTCTTTCTTGCTCTGAAGTGCCATCCTGGCCTTCTTGAGGTTCTTAACTGTGTCATGGCCCCTAGCTTGGAATATTCCTCCTTAACTCCCCTTGACTTTACTCAGCTCTTTCCTTTCCTTTCCTTTTTCCTTCCTTCCTTCATTTCCCAGTCCTGGGGCTTGAAATCAGGGCCTGGACACTGTCCCTGAGCTTTGTTTGCTCAAGGTTAGTACTCTACCACTTGAGCCACAGCGCCATTTCCAGCCTTTTCTGTGGCACTAAGGAACCAGGGTTTCATGCATGCTAAGCAAGCACTCTACCACTAAGCCACATTCCCAGCTGCTCACTCAGGTCTTTTCTTATAGCCTGTCCTGACCTGCCCATGACATGCCCAGAGACATGCAGAGCTGGCCAGGTTCCAGGCTCCTTCCACTGCATTCCTGCACAAGGAGGCTGGGTATGGGACTGCACTTCTTCACAAGCTGCAGTAGCATGACATATTTGATTTTTTGTTTCATACCAGTCTGTGTTGCTCCTGGACTTAAATGATGCTGCCACCTCTGCCTCCTGAATAGCTGGGATCACAGGTTTGCGCCATGGCACCCAGATTCATTTAACTTGAAAAAAGCTTTTGCAAAGTATATGTTCCTTGAGGTCTTTAAGTTCCAAGTGATTTTTGTCATCACACTTTTATTTTGATAATATTGTTATTAATAATGAAGACAACCCGTGTGCAGCAATAACATACAAAGAATAGCTATAAAGTTAAGACTGTAGTTTTGCTGGGTGCTAGCAGCTGAGGCCTGTAATCCCAGCTACTCAGAAGGCTGAGATCTGGGGATCAGGTCAAAGCTAGCCTGGGCAGGAAATTCCATGAGATTCTTATCTCCAATAAACTACCAAAAGCACGGATGTACACCTGTGGCTCAAGTGGCAGAGCTCTGAGCAAAAAAGCACAAGGACAGTGCCCAGGCTCTGAGTCTAAGCCTCAGAACTAGCACACACACACACACACAAAAAAAAAAAATGTATACTCATCTTGGCACTCTGCACGTTACCTGAGCATTGTGACTTCACATTGTTAATATCAACATAGCCTTCACTGTTAACATTTACTTGCCTTTAAGATCTCCTGGTGGTTTTCAGAGGCATAGAGCCGGCCATCCCGCACAATGTCTTCTACCAGCTGCTCATAGTCCTCTGCAAAGGCACCATGGTTGTGGGGGCTCTACCTGCTCCCCTACTCCTCTCCCGAGACCCCAAGCCTCCCTTCCCACATCCACCTCCCCTCTCCTGCCCCTGCTCACCGTCATAGGTCACATAAGGGATCTGGAAGCCACGGGCACTGTTGGCCTCACTCGTCTTGAAGTTAATCCAGAGTTTCCGGGAACGGGCAGTGAAGGCGATGGGCCGCTCGTAGGTCTGGCAGGTCTCATATGTGGTGATGGAGGATGGGGAGGCTGGCAAGGGAAGCAGCTGATCAGCAGAGCAGCAGGCCAGTTTACCCAAGCCCTGCTGTGGATGTGGGTGAAATCTCCACCCAAATATGTACATATACCCCAACCCCTCTCCCATGGTCTCCTGGGTTCCTTCCACTCCTGATAGCCAAGTACTCACACAGTATATGAACTCTGACATTTTAAATGAGCAGAATGGCAAATAGAGCTAGGATTAGAAAGTCACACACTGATGGCATTGGGTTGCAGCGCTGGCTTTCCTCTCCCCTGCTCTCCACTGAACCCTGCCATTCATTCCCTTCTGCTCGCGTGCCCTTCTCTCCCTAAAGCGTCCCTCACCATCTCTCTCCCGTGAGTCCCTGACTTTGCGGCCCCAGCTCTTCCTGTACCAAACTCACTCTCTCCCAACCAGATTCCGACTGCCCTTCCCTGGCCCAGCTCTGCAGCCACCCACAGTTCTTTCTCATGACGAGGACGTCCCCACACTCATCCTCAGATGGCAGGAAGATCTCGGGTACCACGATAAGAATCTTGCGCTTGGGTGGGGGGTTGATGTTCCAGATGCACTCCACGCCGGCTGGGTAGTTGCCCGGGTAGTTGGGAGACTCGATATAGCCAGTGAACTCACCTAGCTCCCCACCACACTGGCGATCTGCAGCCAAGCCCCAGTGGATAGAGCAAGAAAGAGAAGGCAAGTCAGTGGGGGAACTAGATTGAAGAAAATGGAAGAGTTCTGAAGTGGAGGTTCAGACACATGGGCAGCCACTAGCCCAGTTCATCGTCCACTCTTCACATTCTGAGTTTACCTTCCTGCCTGCCCTTTAAGTACCTGTTTCTTCTTGCTTTACTTAGCTCTTCCTCCCTGTTACCCATCTCCAGGGAATGGAGGCTACAAGGCTCAACCCAGCAACTGACCTAGAGAGCAAGTAGGTTGGGGAGAGGCGGGGCTTTTGTGCCTATCCACCTACCAGCCCTGTTTCCTGTTGGGTTGCCACTCCTCCTTCCTTTCCATGTCCATAGGTCCCAGGTCCCTACCCCCTGTTCCACAGCTCAGGCTCCCACATACTCTTGCACTGGGCCACGCTGGTGGATCCATCAAAGTCAGTGCTTGTATTTCCAGGACAGCGAGTGCAGAAGTTCTGACGGAAGTCTGGCTGGTAGGAGCCCATGGCACAACGGATACACCGATGGATGCTGGTGTTGTAGTAGTGCCCTGGAGAGCACTGGACTGCAGGCAAGCGGACAATAGGAGGTGAGAAGGAGGGCAGGGAGGCGCTCTAGGGCATGGGATGGATAGGCAGGATGACAGGATGGCTCATCAAATAAATTAAAAACGCCTAAGTTTTTTTTCCCCCCAGAGTTCCAATCTTTCTTGTCAGAATTTAAGCTCAGCAAATGCACACTTTCTAGAGTGGTTGGCTCCAACACCAATCCTTTCCTTTTAGATACTAGACATGATGTCTAATCTATCTAGGAACTCGCTTGTGGTATGCAGGGGTATATATCACAGCTCTCCAAAGCAGAGGAGACAGTGGCTGCTAAGGTGTTTTTGGTTTTCTTTTTGTTGTTATTTTGGTCCCAGTTCTAGAGCTTGAACTCAGGGCCTGGGCTCTGTTCCTGAGCTTCTTTTGTTCAAAGCTAGCATTCTATCACTTGAGCCACAGCTCCACTTCTGGCTTTTTGGTAGTTTATTGGAGATAAGGCTTTCATGAACTTTGCTGCCCCAGCTAGCTTCAAATTGCAATCCTCAGATCTCAGCCTCCCAAATAGCTAGGATTACAGGTGTGAGCCACTGGCACCTGGCTGCTAAGCATTTTTATCCCCAGGCTTGGCCTGAGGGATGGCCAGGATGGCTTCTAGGAGTAGGCTGGTGTGCTCGCTCGGGCAGATGGGCCCTTCATGGTCTGGAGAGGATGGTGGGATAACATTCTCAGGACCTGGATGGTTTTCATTTTTTGGAGGGGTAGAGGGGCGATGTCACTGTGCTCTTGCTCGCATGGTGGGGCCTGGGGGGGAGGGGGTGTCTCAAGACTATCTGATAGCAGCTGGGGTCAGGGAGTCCCCTAGCAGGGTGACTACCTCACTCACCTTTGGTATCACAGTCTTGGAAGGAGACAGCCCCCTCATGCTTGGTGGTGAGGCCGCCCCCACATGGGAAACACAGGGTCCGGCCTGCTTCAGGTTGGTAGGTGCCCCGTGGGCATGGCTGGCAGGGCTTGAACCCATCTGCAGAGTGTTGGCCAGGTGGGCACTGACCTGCAATGAAACCAAGGGCCCAACTCTGATGGGATGGTCCTGAGTCACCCCCATTGGGTCACCCAGTCTCGAGGGACAGAGCATACAAATAGGATGTCAACTAGGTGAGTGGCCTGGAGCTTGGGCCTGCCCTGTGGGAAATCCCATGCCCATGGGCGCCCCAGTGCCCACCCTAACCCACTCTGCACCATTTGTTCCCCTGGCACCTGCACACGTGGTGATGTTGGTGGCTCCAAGAGGCCCGTGGGCATCACTCCCAGGGCAAAGGTCGCAGGAGAGCTGCCCTTCTCTCTCCTGGAAGGTGCCCGCTGGGCATGGCACACACTGCTCCGTCTGGCCGTGGTAATACGTTCCCTGCGGGCAGCTGACTGAGGGAGAGTCGGCCGCGCTAGCCACCCACCCCCCCATTTCCCGCCCCCCAGGCCTAGGACTCCCCTTCCCGCTCCCTCAGATTCGGGAGATTTCCTCTTGTTAGGGAATGAACAGAATTGTGCTTTGAGAAATAGGTCAAGTCTATGTGCTGGCCCTGCCTGGTATCTCATGAGTTCAGCCTGGACCAAGGAAAGGTGGACAATGGGTAGAAGGGTCTTGGCTGCCTCATAATTTGAGAATTGCACTGGAGACACGAAGGAAGGGTCCTGCTCTCTTCCATGACGGGAGGCCCCTACTTTGGGCCTTTCCTACTCCCCTGCTCCTCCACAAGCTGCCTTACCACACTTGGCCCCAGCGCGGTGCTGCCCGGGCCTGCAGGCCTCCGCTGGCTCTGCGCGCTCTCCGGCTGCCAGGCTGGGCTTGTGGGCTAGTTCGTAGTCAAGGCCAGCCAGGCGCAGCAGGAAGCGGTCCTGGTTGATGGACTTTCTGAGCATCTTCAGGGATCCTTTCAGTCGCCGTTCCATCCGCTGGCGGAGGCAGGGCAACCCGCAGCTGGCTAGTGGTGGGTCATAGTATGAGTTGGAAAGAAAGCCTGGCATGAGCCAGGTGCCGGTGGCTCACGCCTGTCCTCCTAGCTACTCAGGAGCCTGAGATCTGAGGATCGCAGTTCAAAGCCAGCCGGGGCAGGAAAGTCTGTGAGACTCATCTCCAATGAACCACCAGAAAACCGGAAATGGCGCTGTGGCTCAAGTGGTAGCAGGCTTGCCTTGAGTTGAAGAGCTCAGGGACAGCGCCAAGTCCCATGACTGACAAAAAGAAGACTGGCATGAGCGGGTGGGCAAGAAAGCAAAGGTGGAGACTGGGAGGGGCATGGTAAGAGGGCCAGTGTTGACACAGGGTCTGCCCCTAGTGTAAGGCCCTGGCCCTTCCTTTGGCTGTTGAGGCCTGTGGTTTTCCCCACTTCTACCCTCCCCTGCAGCCCTCCACCCAAGTTCTACCTGTGGTTTCTTCAGCTCTCACTTCTGCCTCCAGTTCCAGGGTGAGTCGGGTGACCTCCTTGCCTGGAGGGGTCCGAGCCCTCCGGCCCTTGCCCTTCCGAGAGGAGTCACACTTGAGATGGATGAAAGTAACCTGGCAGTCAGAGCAGGGGGCGCCACCTGGGGGAGAGGCCTGGTTAGCCAGGGCATCTGGGATCTCCCATCTCCGCCTGCCCCCCCACCCCAGGGACAGGGGAAGTTCTTCCTCACTTCCTCTCCTCAATCCAGACAGGCCTCCCCTGACCTCTGAATGCAACTCTCAAGGTTCCCTGAGATTAGTTAGAGGGAAATAGCCTGGGCCTTCAGTGGGCCCTCTGTCTACAACTGCTTCCACCTGCTCTGCGCACAGTGCAAGACGCTGCAGGGTGGGGAGGAGTGTTCTAAATGAGATCTCACTAAGCAGGGGGCCCAGGGGGGAGGGGGGAGGTGAGGGTTTGGTAGTTGGACAGCCCGTCAGGGTGAGGTCCCCAGTGCAGACCTGGCCCTGGGACTCTGCTGGCCTCCTCGGGTTTGCCTTTGTTTCGCAGGTGTAAACGGCACTTGGCGTCCTTGATCTTGAAGGAGGCCCGCTGTTTAACCGACAGGGCTGCAGCCTCTAGAGGGATGGCAGAAGCTCAGCATGGTGTCGGGAAGGGGGGCCCCTGGGATGGGGGCTGCTGTGGAAGGTGTTGCAAAGCTGGGCACTAAAGCAGAGGTGTAGCCTGAAGGTGAGATGATGATGTTAGAGGCAGCGAGGCTGGAGAATGAGAGCAATGTCGGAGACCCAGGGACAAGGCAAGGCTGGGAGACGAGCGGAGAGAAAGAGGTGGGCGGAAGAGGTCAGAGTGGTCTGTGCTAGTGCTCACCATGGCAGTGGCTGGAACTGGTGCTATTCCCGGGGTGGCCGGCTCGGGCTGGGGCAGCCTTAGGACTCGGGGTGCCACAGCTCACTGTGAAGCCATTCTCAGACTCTGAGAAAAGGAGCCTGTCACAACTCTGAGCTGCCCCTGAAGTCCCACTGGCAGGAGGAATCTCAAGGGAACAGAGGCACTGCCATTTTCTCCCTTCGGTCCCAACCCCCTCAATCCCCTCCTCCCATGTACCTGGCAAAAACCGCGCCCGAGAGGGGCAGGTCAGGGCACAGGTGTCCTTCTTGCCAGATCGATTGCAGCTGAGCATGGCCTTTGAGGCTCCAGGGTTTCCCTGACACTTCACTGGCTCTAGGAGGGGGAGAGAGGCCTGACGGGGGTGGCACGCATCCCTTTCCCACCCTCTCCCAAAGTTGGTGAATCTGGTGGAAGAGAATCTGCAGAGCTACAGTTACGCCATGGAGACTGAAGAAGGGATTATTCACCAGAAACTGCACATCTTAACACAGATAATTACATTTTTTCCAACCATTTCTCCCAACCCCATATCCTAGCTGGTACTGGGCTCTACACCCCTCTTCTGAAATGTCGGTGCCACATCCTGCCAGCAGAGGGCGGTGCGCACCTGTACAATCTTTGCCATTCCAGTGCAGGCGGCCCTGGCCGGCTGGACAGGTACACTGGTAGCTGCCAGGGGTGTTGATGCAACCAAAGCGGCAGCCTCCCCGGTTGATGCTGCACTCGTCCACATCTGGGGGAAGGGGCAGGAAGACAATCAACTGTGGTGCTTGGGAAGCAGAAGTCAGGGTATCGGCAGGAAACCAGAACCTTTGGTTAGAGTTCCAGGCATCCTGGGTCATGCAAGAGGAGCACATTCTAAAGATCTCCTCATGGTTAACAATACCTTACACTTACACTTAAAGTTTCGTTAAGAGGGGGCTGGGAATATGGCTTAGTGGTAGAGTGCTGGCCTAGCATGCATAAAAGCCTGCGTTCAATTCCTCAGTACCATATAAATAGAAAAAGCCAGAAGTGGTGCTGTGGCTCAAGTGGTCGTTGAGCAAAAGAAACTCGGGGACAGTGCCCAGGCCCTGAGTTCAAGTCCCAGGACAGGCACCACAAATGTTAAGAGGGAAATCTCATGTTAAATATTCTTTTTTGGACAATATCACATCTTCCCTCACACTCAAAATATTCCTTTTTTTTGTTGGTGGGGGCTTGAACTCAGGGCCTTGGGTGCTGTCCCTGAGCTTTCACATTCAAGGCTAGCATTCTATCACTTTAAGACACAGCACCACTTAGGATTTTCTGGGAGTTAATTGGAGATAAGAGTCTCGTGGACTTTCTGGGTTGGCTTTGAACTGCGATCCTCTAGATCTCAGCCTCCTGAGTCGCTAGGATTATAGGCATGACCCACCTGCGCCCGCCAAAAACATTCTTAAAACAACAACAAAAATTCAGCGTTTTGTGGCCTGAGAGGAACTCAAACTTCCTCCCCTATCTCTATCCTCAGTCAGAAGATTCACGGATTAGGGTCCACACTGACTAGCCTTTTAAAGTCTCTCACTTCTCCCTACTGGTGGGACTGTTGGTGAGCTGAGGATGGGAGTTTGGGGTGAGTGACGGGGCTGGGCAGTCATGGGGCAGAAGACAGGCTGTTTGGAGACGGGATGCTGTTCTCCAAAACTGGTCTTCAAGGCTGCCTAAACTCCTTTCATCATGGCAGATACAGACAGGGCATGTGCAGCCAGGGACTGCCCACAGCCATAAGCCAATAACATGGGGTCTCAGTCAGCTGGAGGGTGAGGAGGTAAGAAAGGCTGAGGTGACTGGGGAGAGGGGTGCTAGCTTGTTAGCTTACCACCACAGTGGGTGACACCATATAGCAGGTAGCCACGATGACAGAGACACTGGAAGCTTCCTGGCGTGTTCACACAAATGTGGTCACAGGTTCGATCAAAGGAGCACTCATCTATATCTGCAAGAGATAGGATGTAAGTTACTGAAGCTGTTTTGGGTCACTGGACCCCTGTGAAGGCGAGGCACCCCTGGAGTTGACTCCTCCCACTCATGACCCAGTCACAGATGGATGACTGAGCAGTGCCAACCTGTGCCCATTCTATTTGGAGTCCTTGGATCTGTGTAGTTAGGCAGGCCACATTGGGCCCAGGATATTGACTGGAGAGAAATCTGTCCCCTAGCCCTCATCATGTGGTGTGTGCCAGTGTGTAGCTGGCCCGCCAGAAGGAAGCGGGACCGTCTGCAATCTGCAGCATGGCGCTGCTGCCTCTGGAGACTCTATAAACAGCATCTACTGAGTTTCTCAGGCTGTGGCCTCTGGCTGACTTGAAGCTATCTGGGGAAGAACCTCTCCCGGGCCTTTTAACATGGTGGCCCAGGTCTGCTTACCCTGGCAGTTCCTCTCATTGATGAGCAGCTTGTAGCCCTTCTTGCAGCTGCATTCGAAGCTGCCCACTGTGTTGCGGCAAAGATGGTCGCAGCCCCCGTTGTTCAGCCGGCACTCGTCTATGTCTGGGGAAGCAGGGCAGAAGAGAATAGAATGAAGTTGGTAGATCCCTTCCTTCCAGGGACACAGAAAAGCAAGGAGTGTCCTCGTCTACCCCCTCCTGTCCCCTCTGCCACTCCTGACTCTGGATTGTCCTTGTTCAGGGGAATTAGTAACATCCTTCCTTCAGGAAGGATGGGTCCAGGAGCCAGACCAAAGGCCACCAGGGAATCCTCTGCAGTATGAACAGGTGGGCATTTGCCCCACAGGGCAGGCCATGCCCTGTGCTCTCCACCTGAGGGCTAGGCCCAAGAAGGACTATCTCCTTCCTGTCCCCTACCCCTGTCCCCAAGGTCCAGTCAAGAATGCTGAGTAGTGGGCTAAGGAGAGGTGGAGAGTCCAAAGGACTCACTGCAAAGGGGCAGCCTTCAGGGAGGAGGAGTCAGGCACAGGGCCAGGCAGGGAGGACTTCCAGGAGAGGCGGTAAGGCTGGGTGGCTGATGGGGGAGGCAGGGGCCAGGCAGGGGGCTGGACAGGGAGAAGTCTGGAGAGACTCAGGCCTGAGGCAGCTTTCAGCACTAGAGAGGGAAGGGGTGGGGGGTGGGAGGCAGCTTCCTTCCTGAGGTCAAGTTCCTGGAGCTGGTGGCAGACAGGACCCAGGCTACTCACCCCTCCTGGAGGGGAGGGGCAGGGAGGGCAGCCCTGCCTGTCACTCCTGGCATACCTGTCAACAGTCCTTCCCAGCAGGAAACCTCGTTCCTCCTCCTCCCCCTCCTCCTCAGGCTGGCTGACCTGCTGCCCCAGCCCCTCCCCTCCTCCCACAGCTGTTGGGCCAAAAGACACAAAGGAGCCCCAGCTCCTTGTGACTAGGGGACAGGCCCCATGAATCACTATTTTCAATATGGCAACCCTCTCTTTTTCTCCTCCCTCTGCCCTCAGACCTGGCTGATGAAAAGAAGTAGAATGGACAACTCTGTATTACTGTCACGACAAATATACATGCAAGTGCCAAGCTCTCCCCTGAGGACTTTGTACATAAAACACTCATTGCAGCAAGGCAAGGCGAACACGATAGGGAAACGAAGACACAATGGCAGGACACGAGTGGCTCAGGGTCACAGAACTAGGAAGAGGCAGAGCCGGGATCTGAACCCTGTAGCCATGCACCTGACTATTGTCCTTTTCTCCCTGGGCCTGGACAGCCTTTATAAAGGGAGGTCATTTCCGGGAGCCCACTGGGAAGGTCTGAGGAAAGAGGGTTAAGGTTACAAAGTATGCGGGTGCAGGTGGCTCGCGCCTGTAATCCTCACCACTGAGGAGGCTGAGATCTGAGGATCATGGTTTGAAGCCAGCTTGGGCAGGAAAGTCCGTAAAACTCTTATTTCCAATGAATCACCAGAAAACTGGAAGTGGAGCTGTGGCTCAAAGTGGTAGAGCACTAGCCTTGAACAGAAAAGCTCCAGGACAGTGCCTAGGCCCTGAGTTCAAGCCCCATGACTGACAATTCCTCTCCCCACCCCCCCCCAAAAAAAAGGCTGGGGGACTCAAGTATCCTCCCAACAAATGTGGGACTAACGTGAAGGATATATTCTTTGACTAAGAAGGCTGGGACAACCCTCTTCCCCCACCCAGGGAGCCAGGGAGGAGAGTAGAGAAGCAACAGAGAGGAGGGGCAGAAGGCACCTTTGAGCCCCATGAACTAGCATGGGGCATCAGATACCCCTTGGCCTCGCCCTAGGCTCTTGTTACAGGGGTGGAGGAGGTGTGGTTCCATTCCTAGCGACCCCATCTCTGGACCCAGCTTAAGCCCCTTATTGGGGGTTGTCCATGCTCCCTCCTCCTTGGAGCCCTTACCTTTGCAGGTCTTCCGGTCTGGCTGTAGCATGAAGCCCACAGGACAGCTACAGTGGACGCCCGTGGCTGCGTCGTGGCATTTACTGTCGCAGCCTCCATTGTTGACAGCACAGGTCTCTGTGGAGGACAGAGGTAGAGGGTGGGATGGGGGTTACTTAGAAGACTCTGAGCCTCAAGGTGTGGAGGCCACAGGGGTCCCGAGGGAAGGCCTCTGCGGCCGCCCTGTGCTCCATCGGTGGCAGCAGCAGCAGCAGCAGCGTGAAGCTGAGGCTCCCAGCCCCCAGCCCCTCACCAGTGCAGCCAAGCAGCCCGCTGCCCTGCCCCCTGCTTGATTGGAACAAGGTGGACAGCAGTGAGGCAGGTACAAGCCAGGGCTGTCAGGCAGGAATGTGCTCAGGGCGGGGGAGGGGGAAGCAGGGAACCATGGGAGCTAAGTACAGGGGGCTTCTGGTCACCAGGGATCAGAGGGGACAGGCAGGGGTGTCCTCCTCCCTGTCCCACCAGCTCTGGGGGGGGGTAGCTGGGGTCATGGTGGGACACTCTTCCTGTGGGTGGGTCGGGCAGAGGGAGTTTGGAGGTCCCTAGGACAGTTGAAGGACGCTCATCCATTTGGCTCCCCTGGCTCCCTGACCAGCTTTCTAAAGAAAGATCCCAGCTCCGGGACTGCCCTCCCAGCCCACGGGGAGAAGACAAATACTAGGCCGTCCCCTCTGAACTCCTCCCAGCCCGCTGTTAGCTCCACCTGGAGAGAAGCTGGCTCCTTGCTGTGTTCCTTTCCTTTGCACAGAGGAAGGGAGAGGCCAAAGGAGAAGAATCCAGACCAGGAAGGGTAGGAAAAGCAAGACACAACTGTCTTATTGCAGTGAGGTCTCTTTTCATGCTCCCCATCAGCTGCTGGGTTTCCCTTAGCCGAGCCAGAGAAAAGCAGACTTAACCAGCAGCCAGGGAGACGCAAGGGGAAACAAAAACAAAACCTATCACTTCAAGACCCTGACATGGGGATGTGAGACATTGTAGACCTATTGTGGGGGTGTCTAGAATTCTCCCATTAGGGACTCCAAGGCCTCCAAAAGAAGCCTTGGATAGCAGCTCCCAGTATCAGGAAACAAATGAGGAAAGTTCCTGATGCGCAACCCTCCTTCCTTGTCACCACTGAGGACAGCATGCCTTGCGCTGCAGGTCCCAGGTAACATCCTGGGCCCTCAAATGCTCAGCTCCGGGTCCACAACCCCCGCAGAACTGCTCCTCTTCTTCCTCTTAGTCTCTCTAGAGGTTCTCAGGACCCCAAGGAACCTGAATTCAGGTTCCAAGCCCAGCTTCCTCCCCCAAGAGTACTCTGACCTAAGAGCCTGAAGAGCAGGGAGACCAGGGGCAAGGCTGGACAGGGCCGCTCAGGGCAGGGCAGCAGGGCGGGGCAGCTCTCCTGATCTCAGGCTGAAAACCATAAGCTGCCCCTGCTTTGTGTACACCAGCCGTCACTCCATACCACACACTGGTCTGCCTGAACTCCAATGCCACCCTCGTAACCAGGAAGGGGGTGGAGCATGATGGGCGATGCTGATTGTGAATTAATGAATGGAAGAACCCAAGAAAGATGGCCCTTGGAGAGGATGGCATCTCGTCCTGCCACACCCTCGCCTCCGTGGCACAGTGGGCACGGAGGGGAAGAGGGACCTGGCTGGGTCGTAGACTGTGTGGTGGTGGCAAGCTGGGACAGATGGCTAGGAAGAGCCTGGGATATCAGAAGGTGGTGCTAGATGAGAAGCGAGCAGAATTGGAAGGAAAGGGAAAGAAGAGGAAGAGCAGGACAACACAAAGGCTCCCAGGCCAGCTATCACCAGATAGGCCTAGTGCCCAGGCGGCCAGGGGTGGGGGTGGGGGAGGCTCTGCTGGCAGACAGGCTCAGTGGGGCTGGGCTCAGATGGGCATGCAGTTAGTGGGAGCCCCAGCGGTTAGCCCTTCCCCTAGCAAGCCAGTGAGAGCAAGCGGAGAGCAGACATATTTACCATTAGAAACGGCCTGAGGGGGGGTGTGCTGCTCTATCCGCCTTTCCCCTGTTTGACATTGTAAAAAAACTGTTTAGATGCTGGGCAGGTGCCTTCCCTCCCCGAGGCCGCCTCCACCCAGCAGGCCCACACCCCTAGCCCCATACCTTGAGCCCTGGAACCTTCACGACACTCCTACCTGAAGTTCCCAAAGAAGCCAAGCTTCCCCCCAGTGACTGAAAACCCGAGAAACTGAGTCTCAGAGACAGGCAATTGTGGGCTCAACAGCACCCAGCATGCCAAGGGCAAAGCTGGCCTGCAAGGCAAGTCTTAGGAACAGCCAGATCTCAAAGGGTGCCCAGCTTTTCAGTTCCCCACTCTGCCCGCTCAGCCTCGCCACTGAAGCGGAGCGTTCTTATGGGCACAGACAACGGAGACCTTCTACCAAGGCTGGGGAGAATGAGATGGAGGGCATGTGAACCGCATGCTATCAGAGCCAAGGGAGGAAGCAGGAAAGGACACAGCGCTAAGTTCTAGAGCACCCTCGCTCGCTCTCTCTGCCTCACTTGCCATGGTGGGCCCAATGGGTCTCAGAGAATAGGTCAAGCATCCATGTCTGAACAGAAAGAAACCAGAGAGGAATCTAGGCCTCTGACCTACAGGCCTCCAGCTTTCTTTGGGAAAGATCACATGCAGCTTCTTTTCTTTTCCTTCTTTTTTTTTTTTTTGGTACTGGTCTTGGGGCTTATTAAACTCGGCCTGGGTGCTATCCTTGAGCACTTTTGCTCAAGGTTAACACTCTACCACTTAAACCATGTAGATAAAAGTCTCATAGACTTTCCTGCCTGGTCTGCCTTCCAGCCATAATCTTCAGACCTCAGCCTCCTGAATAGCTAGGATTACAAGCATGAGCCACCGCTGTCTGACTCTTCTTTTTTAGTAGAGGAGAGTCTCTCAATGGGGAAGACAGAGTAGCCCAGCCTGTCCTCAAACTCTTTTTTCTCCCACTTTAGCCTCCCAAGTGCTAGGATTAGAGCCATAACTACCACTCCAGCTGCATGCATTTTGGGGGGTGGAGGAGAAGACTCTAGGGACATCTAACTGTCCAAGGGGTGGTGGGAGCCTGAAAGCAGAATTAGACCTGTGAGGAAAGAACGAAAGGAGCTAGAACAACCAGCCCAGCCCAAGAAGACAACATGAAGATCTAAACATGTTTTGAGGTCTCTTGAGGAGCTGGGAGGGAGGAGGTATGCAGGTTTCTCAATTACGGAAGCATGTCTCTGTAACAGATGCCTAAGGGGACCTTGTAAGAGTACTTATCTGTCCCCCATCCTAATATCTTCAGTGAAGGTGACAGATCTCTGAATGTATGTGTGTGTGTGTGTCTCTGTGTGTGTGTGTGTGTGTGTGTGTGTGTGTGTAGGGGGGTTGGTTCTTAAGCTGAATGCCATATCTCTGACACACAGGAATTCAGAGAGGATTGTGCCCACAGTTCTTTCTCAGCCAGTCAAAGCCCACCAGATGGATGGCCCTGCATGCACACCCTATGCCCACGGAGCAAGCGCACCCCTGCCTGGTCCAAGATCCAGCCTCACCCCCAGCCATAGCTCTCCCTATGCTCTCTAAATGGCTCCAGGATCTTCTCAGCACTCAAGACCTAAAGACTGAGGGAATTAAGAACTAACTGTAAGGAATTATGCTCATCTAGGGTAGCTAGTGGGGAGAGTTAAGGCCTAGGAATAAAAGGTCTAGCTAGTAGGTGAGGCAGTGGGCAGGCTACAGGTGGAGCTGAGGCAGAGGGAGAAGGAAATGGGGTGAAGTGGGGCGGAAGTGAGGAGGGAAAGCATAGAGGAGACACATGGAGCTAGGACCCCACCAGCTTCTTTTTTTTGTCAGTTCAGGACTGGCTGTTCCAGGAAAGAGCACGGGATCCTGCACATAGTCCTGACAGGTACAGCGCCCACTACCAGCCAACCAGGGCCTCCTCAGCTGATTTCTCCAGCTCTCCCCTGCCTTATCTCCCTCAGCTTTGGTCAGCCAGCACCTTTGCTCATCATATTCCCAGTTTGGTAATGGCCTCCTGGGAGGAAGAGGGTGTGGTAAGGCTCCCGGGGCAGGTGGAGGAAGGCACGGGCTGGTCAAGGAGGAAGAAGGGCAAGTATGTCCTTCAGTCTCGTTGCTCCTCATAGAGCTGGCATTGTCTGGGCCTTCATTCCCCACAGTTCCCTGGGGCCCGCCCCACCCCCCGGCCCCATCACAAGGTAGCCTGAGTTCTCCCCTGACCTCACCCACCGATGCATGTCTTCCCGTCGGTATGGAGGACAAACTTGACATGGCAGCCGCAGCGGGGGCCCTGCTCTGTGTCATCACACGTGTGCTGGCAGCCACCATTGCCATAGTTGCAGGTCACTGCACAGAGAGGGCAGGAGGCCTGTTAGCTCGCTTCTCCTGGGCCTCACGGGGCTCCACAACTGGAAATGGGGCCCTCTTTCCTAGACAGCTCCCCCACACCCCATTTCCTCCCAGCGCCATCCCCTTGCCGCCCAGGCCCCTCCTCTCTCCCTTGTGCCTCTTCCCCCACCCCCATCCCAATGTCTCACATTTACAGTCCCGTTGGTTCTTGGTGAGCTCGAAGCCGGGGCGGCATTCACAGGCAATACCCCCCTTGGGGGTCTCGCGGCAAATGTGGGCACAACCATGGTTCTTGTTCATGCAGTTCATTCCTTCTAAAAGGGAAGAGAAGATGCTGTTTGTACCCTGGAGGCCTAGATGGATTAGAACAAAGAGGAGACCTGGGAAATGGGGACAAGTAGAGGAGGTTGCAAGGTTGCAACCCGAAGGGCATATCTTTTCCCATCTGCCCATCCCAGGCTTCCAGTCTGGCCCACAGAGCTGGGTGCCAGGGAGCAGGGTGCCATGCTATTTGGCGCGATGGCTTCATGAGTGCTAATAGCCACCTGAAAGAACATGGGTTCCCTATCTTTCCAACAGCCCACACTGTGTCTAAGACTTGTCCAGCACTATGCTAGGAACTTGGGAATAAGGAAAGATCTAGAAACATCTAAGACATAATTCTCTTCTCCCTTGGCATTTTTTTTTTTTTTTT